CCTCGCCGCGGGGGCGGCTCGCAGTGCCGCGGGCCCCGTCCGGGGCGGCCTCGCCTGGCTTCACCCGGGCCCTGGGCTGGGGGGGCGGTCAGCGCCCGGCTTGTCCCCACCCTGGTCAGGGGAGGGGGAAGCCCGACAGCTCTGCATGCACGGTCCATCCCCGGGGCCACTTGGGAAGGCAGGCGCCTCCCCTGCGGACTCTCCTTGGCTTGTAAACAAACCCACTGCGAACAGGCTTGGAAGGAAAAGTTCAACCTGCTTCAAAATCTTCAGTGTGCGCGGTGGTGCGCTCAAGATCCCAAGGCCCATGAGGCGATGGCTCTCTCTTCTGCCTGCTCCCAAGCAGTAGCATAAGCCCTGCAGTGCCGAGCGCATGCCTGGGCATTTGCAAATGTCATGGGGAATGTCAGCAGAAAAAATACAGTCTGACTGAAAATCTCTTTTCCTGGGTCCAGTGGCACTCAAAGCTGTTGCTTGCACGTCTCTTCCAGGACAGCATCTCATCACTGCCGTCGTAGAACAGATGTTTGGATTCAAGACAGCTTCATGGTGAGCAGGGAAGAGGCTCCTTTTGACCCCAGTCTTACCTTGTTTGGCGTGTGCCACTGTGCTGGGCCACAAAGAGCTGAACATTGACAAATCAAAAGCAGTTTGCCCTTGGACATTTCACTCAAGCTCAGAGGGCCTGGGAGAGGTGACTGAACTGGAGAAAAGCTGTGCAAAGTATTTGCTCTGTCTTGTCCTCCTCCAAGTGTTTGGTATGCATCTGGTGCTCTGTAAATAACAGGGAGAGGAGGGAAGTATTTCTGTTTCGGTCACCACATTCCCAGCAGTGGGATGGCACTTAGTGCTGCACAGAGGGACCTTCCAGCTGGTCTTAGTTACAGCAGCAGATATTCCTCATTGGTGCAGGGAGCTGGGCCGTCAGCGAAGTGTCATTGAGCTGGACACCCCCTCCATGACAGCGGAGCAAATAGAGGCCCTGGAGAGGACTGTGAATGAGAAAATCCGAGAGAGGGTACCCGTGATGGTGAGGGAACTGGCTGCAGATGACCCTGAAATTGAAACAGTGAGTGGTGGGGAGAGAACTGATGATATCTGTGGGACCAAAATAACTGTGGCATGGATGTCACCTTGTTTGCCATTGTCCTCCTTTTGCTAGGTGAGAAGCCGTGGCTTGCCAGATGACCACGTGGGGCCAGTGCGAGTTGTTGACATCGAAGGCATAGACTCCAACATGTGCTGTGGGACTCATGTCTCCAACCTGAGTGACTTGCAGGTGGGGGGCTGCAGCTGAGCTGCTTTCGGGAGCCTCGCTCCACACATTCAGACCTAGCACAGCAGAAGTCCCTGAGATCCAGGGTCTGCTGGAAATTGTCCCGATGGTAAAGGGGGCGGCGGAAGCCCCGTGCTGGGTGAGCCCCAACAGGGCCGCACACAGGTTGGCAGTCTTCATCCAGTCAGTCAGGCTCCTTTCTTTCTTTGTAACAGAACTCAGCCCTTGTCTGTAGCAGTGCTATTTTCTGAACTGCCGATGCCTCTGCGGAGGGCACGTGGTGTATTGCCAGTTTGGCGGTGCATTGCGGGGTTGCTAGCCATTTGTTCCCTCTGCTTAAAGCTCTGGTATTTTTGAGTGTTTGTCATGAATGGAGAAATCCTCTGTGCAGGGAGGTGGAGATAAAATTCTAGAGCTGCCTTTAAGTGTTTCTGTCTTTTCGGTCATTTGTTGGAGTCTGTATCCCAGCAGAGACATCCAGGTGCACTGCAGAGTGCAGCCCATGACTAGCAAATTGTATTAATTCCACTGTATCACCATCCTTTTTTTTTTTTTTGTATGTTGACCTTATGGCTGATTTTAATCAGTTTATTTTCACTGGCAGAGAGCTAATATTCACAACAAGCCATAGTCTAGTAGGAGCTGACCACCTGTGTAAGTATAAGCAAAGTACTGTTCTTTTCTGACGAGGGTGATTTTCTTTTTAAGGTTATTAAACTCCTTGGCACAGAAAAAGGGAAAAAGAACAAAACCAACTTGGTTTTCCTGGCAGGAAACAGAGTGCTGAAGTCAATCGAACAAAGTTACAATACTGAGAAGGCTCTAACCTCACTGCTCAAGTAATACCCTTTCTACTTTGATTATTTCATCTTTTACTATTCTTTCTGACAAATACCACATAAGCCTCAGGGTACATCTATGTGGTGCTTTTTATGATGTTATCTGCTTTTGCTTCTTTAAGAAATCTTTTCTTTGTCCTTCAGAGTGGCGATCCAAATTCTTCTTGTTCTTTCAGGAATGGACCAGGTGAACACATAGAGGCTGTGAAGAGGCTGCAGAGTTCTGTGAAACTGCTTCAGAAGGTATGAGGATGGCTGAGAAAACCAGATTGTGGCTGCTTCCTGTAGACCTGAGCTTTAGTCATGATAACTGGGAATTGAATCATAGACATCAGTTTTTGTGGATGTTATGAAAACTGCTCCCATCTCTGGAACAGAACCCAGTGTTCACGCTGACTTCTCCGTCTGCAGTACCATTTATTTGCTTTTCTTTCAGAATAACTTGAACCTGCTTAGAGACATTGCTGTTTTGATAGCCCGGGACTTCAAGAGCAAACCTGTTCAAAGTGAGCTGTTTGTGTTACACAGGTAAGGGGGAGTTCAGGGAGAAGGGTAAAATGGTATCTTACACTTTTTATGGCAGTTGCATCTCTCTGACACCTATTCAGGCTTGTTTCTCAAGGAAGAATGTAAACAAGGTGAATAGAATATTTAAACTGCCTCAGCCTGCTGGAAAGTTGTGTAATTAAAGGAATGTGTTAGTAATTCAGTCACTGAATACTTCTGGTTTTACAGCTAAGAAATAACCGCGTCTATCTGATTTCTCTCTGCCCTTGATATTTTCAAATAAAACTGAGGAGCTCTATTTCGTAAAGATAAACACTTAAATAATTCCTAATATGTCCACAGGAATGCACAATGAGGATTTAGATATCTAGAAAAAACCTAATCTCCATCCTAACAGCAAGAGGCCAAAACTCCAGGCCTGATCAGGCCTTTGGTTTCTGGTTGATATTTTGGGCTCTAGAGGTGATTTTTGCTTCTTTCTGAAGTGGTTTTTTTACCCATCCATACAGGAAAGAGGGTGACTCTGAATTCATGAATATCATCGCTAATGAGATTGGGACAGAGGTGAGTCACTGATGAAGACTAACCTGACACCACTGGCTTTTCAATTCAAGCTGTAGCACAGGCAGGGCCAGGCTTCTGTTTGTACCATAGTCACAAGCTACAGGTCTGTTTCCTTTCAAAAGTTACGGGAGGTTTTTGTCCCCAGCAGCCTCAGTCTGCAGGAGCATTCTCAACAGTCAAGAAATAAACAGTGAAAATTCAGAGCACTGTAGAAGAGCCTGTCCCCCAAAGAGCTGTACAGAACCTCATCGGCTGTTTTAGAATAGAATGGACTATTGCAGTTGGAAGGGACCTACAACAATCATCTAGTCCAACTGCCAACCATATCCTTTTAACTTAGGATACCCCAATACCCATTCTGTCCCCCACAACATATGATTGAGCATAAAAGGTTCAAAAGCCTCCCTCCCTTTTACTTTCTTCAAATTGAGTCTCTGTCTCAGTAATGCACACAAACATCTGAATTGTTTGCATGCTCGGGTGGGTCCTGTGGTCAGTGTCTCCGTCCTCTTCCCAGATGAGGAGGGCACTGGTTATTCTGGAGCAAGATCCATCTCTCTGTCCACAGGAAACCCTGCTGTTCCTGACTGTGGGAGATGAAAAAGAAGCAGGACTCTTTCTTCTAGCTGGACCTGTTGAAGCAGTTGAGAATTTAGGTCCCAGGTAATGTGTTCTATGGTTTCTTTAAAATCAGTAAGAATTCTAATGTTGCAGACTAAGCAGCTGAGCAGTATAATTAGGGCATAGATCCTTGTTTGCTCTCTGGAGCAGGTTAGGCAAGGCCACTCTCTTCTCTGCAAGTGGGTGGCCTTCAGCCTGTACTGTTGTTACTGCAGGGTGGCAGAGCTGCTGGGAGGCAAAGGAGCTGGGAAGCGAGGCCGCTTTCAGGGCAAGGCAACCAAGATGAGTCGGCGAGGAGAAGTGCAAGCTCTGCTCCGGGAATTCATCAGCCATCGAAGCCCTGAAGCGTAAGAAACAATTCTCAAAGTAGGGCTGTCTTCCCTGCTTTGCATAAGCTCCACCACCTTCTCTCCCAGAGAATAAAGACATAAAAACAACAGCTGGTGTGCATATGCTCTGTGTGAGCTGATTTGGTGCTCATGGAAAATTGGGGGAGGGGATCTGCCATCTACACTTTGCTGCAAGGGTTCTTTCATTTCCCAAGCAAATGGTACACATTCTTAAGTGATTAGAAGTAGTCATTATTTAACCATTTTGTAGGCTTCCTAAAACCAAGAGAGGTGCCCTCCCGTTTGCGGTACATTGTGGCTTTTTACTTTGTACCAATTGCTGAGGAGTAATTGCTTTGTGAGCATATTTATTTATAATAAGCTGGATGCATTTAAAAAAATCAGAATACTGGTAAGAAGCAGAGGGTTTGAGTATGATATTTGCCAACAAGTGCAGAGAAAGTGAATCAAGCTTTTGCTGCTGAAATTTTGTAGGGAGAAGAAGGAATGAAATGTGGCAGGAATTGGAGGGATGCTCAGATCAGTAAATCCCCCTTAAAAGACCAAACTAAGCTGGTCACCAGTTACTGCTGCCTGAGATAGAACTGGGAGGCAAGACGACAAGATACTGTTGTCAAGCCTGTGAGCAAGGGAAGGAGGGGGCACCGAAGGACAAGTCTCCATGAGCCCTTTTTAAAAGAAAAGGAACGGACTTTTTTTCCTGGCTACTCAGAAATCTGCAGATGCTGGAGGTCTGAAGATGTTTGTGCTAACGCCATTGCCAGGGCCCCTTGCTGCTGGCCAACACGCAGGGCTGCTGCTGACCTCTGGACTCAGCTGTTTGCTTGGGCAGCAGTTGCTATTGACCCAGCTGTGACGCTGATGGGAGCAGCTGTCGGGTAACACCGGCTTCATCGCTGCAGTCCCAAAACTCCACTGCGGTAGCATCAGGTACGTTATTGCAAAAGAGAATTTCATCCATTTGTAGTTGGCCTGGCAGAACCTTGTTAACACACACGTGCTGACTCTGTACATCAGAATTAAATGTGGATAGAAGCAGCCACCTAGTGCTTTGCTCTGCAGGCAGACAGAAAACTGTATTAAAGTCATTTGTTTGAGCTGTACATTGGGCATTTCTTGTAGGTGTGTGCCTGAACATTTCTTTCACTTCTGTTGCCACGAGCTTGAGCTTTCATTACCATCCTCTTCTCTCCAGCAGTGGCCTTTCCCCTGCCTCTGCGATAGTATCTTATGTTTGGCTCTTTCACATGATAAGAAATAGCTCTACAGAAGAGCAGTAGTCTGTCCCAAGCATTACTCTGAACAAGCCCAGCTAGGTTGTACCGTTACGACTGTCAATGACTGATTGGGTCCTGGCATACGGCTGACTCATGCCACTTCCTATGCTAGTCTGCAAAATGTGACGTCCAAGCTCGTGTCTACAGCTCCTGAGCATTCTTTGGAACAGCAGCTGTTTCTGTAGTCCCCTAAGTAGAGACTGCAGCTTTCTGTGCATGGGTACCTCGGCACCAGGCCATGCTGGTAGTGCCGTGCCTTCACCACTACAGGGAAGGTGTCTTCCTGGTCCACTACAGCACTCCTACACCTGGCCTTTGCTGTGGGGTAACGGGCAGAGGAACTGAGCCCGGAGCTGTCCTCTAGCAGAGCAGCCCTCGAAGAGAAGAGCAAGGTCACGATCTTCCCCACCCTCATCTCCCATCCCTCTGCAGCTGTGTCAGTTCCCATCCTCCTTTCGTGCTCCCATCACAAGAACAGTACCTGAGTTCAGGAGTCTCCAGCAACCAAACTCATTTCCGAGTGAGTATCATCACTAATGCTCAGCAAAAGGAAGCTGTTCCCCACCTGACACCTCGGCCTGGGTAGTGGCAAGCTTTCCTCAGACTTGATCAAGCACAGCAAAGGATACAGCCCTGAATCAGCCGGGGCAGAGAGCAGCTGGAAGGGAGAGCAGGTGCCCCACAGGCAGGAAATCATTCACCTTCGTGTATCAGTCCTTTCCCTTGTTGGGGTACAGTTGTTACTGGTCCATTTTTGAGCATCAGGAGTTTCTCTGGCTTATGCAGATGTAAACTCCCTCGGGATCAGGCAGAGCTACTCCCCGGTGTTTCCTCACCTTGTCTTTTCTGCCAGGGTGGGTCCTGGAGCTGTTGCAATCTCAGCTGCAGAGGCTAAAGGGCGCTGTGGAGCCACAGTGTGAAAAAGCATGACGGGTAATTTGGGATTTTTTTTTTCCCCTTCTTGCTAGAAATGGCATGACAGGTTTGGTCCAGATGTTGGCAATAAACAGAAATAGAAGAAAAGAAACCTCTATCCTAAGGAGGTTTATCTGTCATGAACACAGAGGATAGCAGCAGGGTTTCCACACACGGATAGTGCAGATGCCATTCAGCCGAGAGACCTTTGCCAGCTGTTGAGCTGTTGGTGAGCAGCAGCAGCAGCAGGCGCAGGGTCACGGCTGCGCCGTCCATCAACACCTGTTGGGAATCTGCTCCGGGGGGGGGGGTCAGCAGCCCTTGTTCCCACTGCACACAGTGGGCTCCCGGGGGGGGGCCTTCTGCAGCCACCTCCACGCGGTCTGGCTGCCCCGTCCTGATCCGTCCCAGTCGGGATAACCGCTAGGCCAAGCCTGCCCACTCCCCAGCTGGAGGAAACTGGGGTGTGTGTGTGCGCACTGATCTAGGTAAGCTTTCTACAGAGAATTAGGTCCACAGCTGAGCGCTGTACAGAGCGAGATTTACAGCAAACTTTGCCACGGAAGGCGTTTTAGCATGGATGGGTTTTAACGTGGTTCTGTTGATGTGCAGTTTGGTCAGAAGGAAGGTGCTCTCTCGCCTGATGGCTCTGTGTTTCGGCGGCGGAGGGCTCCCATCAGAGGACTGGGAAAGGCTGCAAAGCCTGCACACTCTACTGCCACATGCAGTAAAGGCCCATCCAAGCCGCAGCAAGACAACGGATGTCGCCACGGCTCTGCTGGACACCATCTCCCAGAGGCATTGCAAGATCTGGGCAGGGGAGATGGCATTTCTCAGGTGCGCCACAGCAGAGAACACCGCTGATGCTTACAGCTGGGTATGGGGTAAATGCTACAGGAACTGGTGTTTTGGGGGAGATAGATACTGCACATGCACACGTACAGTCTGGCAGGAAGACGGTATCTGTACCATCGTATCTATTTTAAACTATCTCAGACTGAGAGGATGTTTACTAACTGAGTTAATTGGCAGGCTGTACAGCCTATACAGCTTTGAAGTCAGCAGGGCGAGCCCGCAGCCGGCTTCCTGCTAACGAGCGTGGCGCCGAGGCAGGAGGGCTGGGACACATCTGCCAGGAGAGCCGAGCCCACGGCAGCAGAGCAGCTTGACCCCACGTTGACACAGCCACTTGCTGCGCCCCGGGCAGACCCAGTGTTTGGGCGAGAGGTGCCTGGAAGCTGAGCCAGTGCTGACCACTGGGCCCCTACCCCGCAACGCAGCCAGCAGCCAAAAGGCAGCTCTGTCCCTGCAGCCTGGGGGCTCAGCACAGCCCAGCTGAGCTGGTCAGTCCCAAAGCTGTGCTTGTTTCCATAAGCAGCAAGGTGACACGAGTGTATCCCTGTTCCTGGCACAAGGTGCACCCAGAAACCTTGGATAAACAGCACAAAAAGCAGCTTGTTCCCGCCCTGCTGTGCTGGCTGCATCCAACTGCACCCGAGGGTGAAAAGCAATGAGGACTGGGGGAGCCTGGTGCTGCCATTCCCGGTGGTTTGGCTGTGCCTTGCAGGTGATAGTAGGAGCAGTGCCCCAGGAGAGATGTCCTTCCTCCAACACCAACAGCAGCCCCAGCCGCAGTCCCTGCTCCCAGGAGCCGATCCCCCATCCCGCCTCATCAGCCAGCGAGATGTCCGAACCCACCAGCTAAACACACCTTCAGCTTTAATAAAATACCCTTTGTTTACAGATACACCCATATGTATATGTGTATATAGATATGCATAATATATGTATACACACATATGCATATGTGTACCCCGTGCTGCTTCACACAGCAGTGAATACTGAACACCTCAGGGCTGGGGGGGCTCCCACAAGCCAGTGCTTTATCTCCAAATCACAGTGTCTGCCCGTTCCTGTAACAGAGCTGCCTCACCAGCAGACCCCGAGCACCCATGGGTGAGCACCCTGCTCCCGGTAGTACTGTCCCCAGTCCTACAGCATGAAGATGGCATGTCCCCATGAGCTGCAGGGGGGCACAGGGTCTTTTCCCCACTGCCGCCAGGTCCCGGGCTGATGACACACACACACCCCCCCACCCCCCGTCGGCGCGGGAAGGGCAGCAGGAGAGCCCTGGGAGCATGGGGCTTGCTGTACCATCAGCTAGCTACAGACCGCCCGAGCCTATGGCATGACTGGCATTGTGGGTCTGTGCCACAGGAGCCATCCAGCAGCGTCGCCAGCCCAGCCTTCGCAGGCTGCTCCCGGTGTGGAGTCAGTCTGTGCAGATTTAGCGCGGAGCAAACAGTGGCTGGGGTGCACCCATGGTCTGGTGACTGCCCCTGAGCCCAGAGCTGGGGTGGCCGCCTGCCCGGGTGCACCATTACCTGCGGGGACACCTCTAGACAGCCTTCTTGTCCTGCGTGGCCAGGAGCTGGGAGACGCAGTAGGGGATGAGGCCAACAGTGGCCAGCGGCACAGCTGCGCTCTTGCAGAAGGAGAGGACGTAGAAGAGCAACTGCATGTGGGAGGGTGGCTTGAAGGCATCAAAGAGGTGTAGGACGAGGAGGGAGGCGGTGATGCAGCCCAGGCGGAAGGGCAGCTGCCGGCTCTGCTTTCCCCGGCAGCTTTCCGTGTACATGTGGGAGTTGAGGGCCAGCCCCAGCCCAAAGAGGATGCCCAGGTTACGGAGGAGGCTGGCGAAGGGCGTGGTGTCAATGTGGACCCACTCGGGGTGGGCGCACCACCTCCGCGCCCTCTCCAGCGTCCAGAGCAGGTCCACGCCAAGTGCCAGCAGCAGCAGGTAGAAGCCCAGGGCGAAGCTGAAGAGGAAGAAGGTGACGCCCAGGTACCGGCAGAGGCTGGCGTGGTAGATGCAGCGGACGTGCTGGAAGGTCTTAGCCACGGCCATCCCTGCCAGTAACGAAGCGGGAGAGGAGGCGGTGCCGATCAGTGAGCGACCGCCTGCCTCTGGGCAGTGGAGCCGAGCGGACCCCACAGTCCTGGGTGCTCAGCAGGGGACATGTGCCAGGGGCTACCCAGATGCTACCGCGTGGTGACTGCCCCAATGGCCACCGCTGCGTCCTGTTGCTCACAGATGGCTGATTCTGCTCCCTTGCCCAGTGACGACCCTTCCACACCCCAAGCCTGCCCTGCCTGTGCCTTCGGGCTACGTTCACTATCCCTCAGAGCCCAGCAGTGGCTGGCACTGCCCTGCCCGCCCAACTGGGACTCGTGCCTCAAATGGGATAGGGACAAAGGCATGTCCTGGAGGGCAGCCTGCCTGTGACGATGAGGGCAGTAACTGCAGAGCCACGGATGCAGCTTTGCATCACGACCCCACATGCGACTGTCAGGCTGTGCACCCTTCCTGGCCAGTGCTGCGAGTGCGGTGGTCCAGCACGGTGGTGCCATGGGGAAGGGGACGGGGGGCCTGATGCACTCACCTGAGATGACCCCCGCGATGACCTGATGGGGGAAGTGGGCAGCAATGAAGACTCGGGACAGGCAGACGCAGACCTGAACTGCCCAGAACCCTGTCCAAAGCACCGTCCACAGCACCCTGCAAGGGGCAGGTGGCCACATTGGTGCCAGGCCCGGCTCACACTGCCTGGGGTGCCGCCATTGTGTACCCCAAGCAGTGCCTGGCCACCCGCTGAGCCCATCCTCGTGCACACCTCACCTGGGGTGCCATGGCCTGGCTGTCTGCCCACAGCCTTGTGCCTCGATGGGCTCAGCTGCACGCCTGTCAGCTCTGGAGCAGCCTCTGCCCAGCACAGGTGGTTTTGGCACACAGCTTACCAGTATTTGAGTGTCCTCGACTGCTTCTTCCCCATGGCAGTAGAGAGGAGGGCCGTCACCATGATGTAGTACACACCTGCTGCTCCCATGGCGTGGCCGGAGGGGCTCCCTGGATGAGAGGAGAGCCCCAGGTCAGACCCCCCCCTTCAGAGCGGGCTGTGCCCTCGTGCCCAGGGTGCTCCCAGGCAGCAGCCCAGGCCTCGGGGGCTGCGGCACTGGGTAGCACGGCACCCAGCACCTGTCTCCCGGTGGCCACGGTGCCACCTCTACGGCAGGCACCCAGCTCCGTCCCTGGGCACAGCAAGGCTGGAGTGGGGGACAGCACGGCAGGGGCAGTGTGGGAGCATGGCTCTGGCTCTGTGGCTTATCTGCTGGGCAAGACTGGGCTGAGGGCACTGACCATTCCCGATGGCTCGCGCTGAGCGTGCCAGGGACGCCTGCAGCCCTTCCCCAGCTCCCGTGGAAAGCTGTGGGCAAAGTACAGAGAGAGCTGCTCCAGAACTGGGCAAGCCCCTTCGCCATGGAGCAGCTGCCCACATTTGGGGCTGGAGGGCAGAGCACAGCGCCGGCACGGGCCAAGGCTGTGGCTGAGCATGGGCAGGGGTTTGTGCTGAACCGCCACGTCTGCGCTGAGGGTCAAGGTCTGCTCTGCACAGGGGCTGCCCTGCCTCCACCCACTGCAGGCACGGCTGGCGTCCCCAGGAGTGCGGCAGAGGCCAACGCCATGGCTCGGCAATAACAGCCCTCTCTCAAGAGCTAGCTAGGGGCGTGTGCCACTGGTGGGCTGCCAGCCACAGCCCCGGCCATACCAGCACCCCCCTCCCTGCAGGGACTGAGACCCAGAGTGGGGAGCTGTGTGTGCAGGTCCCCCTGGGCAAGCGCCCACTGCCCCTGCCGGGGCTGGGGCACCTTACCAGGGCCAGTCTCGCAGGTGAGCGGGAACTGCTGGATCTCTGGGGCGGAGGTGTTGCTGTAATAGTCCGTCTCATGGACCCACCAGTACGGTCTCTCCCCAAAAAGGATCCTGAAAAGAAAGGAGAACGGGGGCTGTAGGAGTCCTGGGCACCAGAGCAGGTGGGCACAGCTGCGGTTTCAGCTCTGGCCTGGGAGCTGGAAGAGGCAAAGGACCCATGAGCGGTCCAGGGCATCCCGACAGACACAGCACCCTGCTGGTCGCTTGGTCCCGACAGCCGACACTGCCTGTCTGTGTCCCCATCCCTGGCCCCTGAAGGGGAAGAGCAAGAACTTCCTGGGAGCAAGTCAATGTGCTGAAAAAGAGTAGTGGTGTCTGCTCCCTCTAAGTCTTTTTCAGGCCAAGAGCAACTGTCTCATGGTGGCATCAGAGGCAGTGGCCACCCATCTCTGTCACATGTGCAGGCAGTGTGGGCATTCTGGGGGATTTGAGCTGCAGGGCAGGCACAGAGCCGGGGCAGCCAGCACACCCCCCGCCCCAACCACACTGCCAGGTCCTGCCGCAGGGACGTGGGGTGCAGCCTGTGTGCGTGGGTGCACGCAGTCCCAAAACCTTGGGATGCTGAAACACAGCTGCAGGGATGGCACTGCGCTGGTCCACAGCCCCTGTGGCCACTGGTACCACAGCCCACAACCTGCAGGGACGGCACCCATGGCTACCAGCTGACACCGAACCCTGCTGGGCTGTGATGCCAAGGTGGATTGGCCCCATGGTACAACTGACACTGCCAACGAGGCCATCCCATGCCTGGAGCAGTGGCTGGGTCCCTTGCATGCTCACCACCATCGCTCCCTTTGTGTCAGCGATACCAGTGTTACCAGCCGTGGAAAGGAAGGGGATATCAGTGTCCTGACTTACCCATGGGAAACACTCACCTAAAACATCAGGGGAGCACCAAGCCCTGATTCCACATATCAGAGCCGTGCCAGGCCACCCCCGCGGCCCCCCCCGTGGTAAGGGGCTCTGTGCAGCCCCCACACAGAACTGCAGCCCTGGCTGACAGCAAAGGGGTCTGTTTGCAGGAGGCTCTATCTCTCTGCCTGGCTTCTGGGAAGCGGGGAGAGCCGCTGCTGCACAGTTCGGGAAGGAGCGACCATTACCACTGCCAAGCTGGGGGCCGAACTCCGGTCTTTGTTTTACACCAGTGTCAAGGCTGAGAGCGCACATCTGGCCCGCATTAGTCCAGCTATGCCAACACACCCGGAGGGAGCCGTGGCACAGGGCCACTCACCACTTGAAGACGAGGTTGAGCCAGTCACCGATCACGGCCACCCAGATGAGTCTGATGCCCACCGACTCGCTGAAGTGGAACCAGATAGGGAAGAGGACGAAGAAAGCATTCCTGAGGTCAGCGGCGAAGGAGATGAAGAGGAACCAGTCCTGGGAGCCCTGGAAGTACTCCTGCAGCCAGCGTGTCGCCTGGATGCCCGTGTCGTGCAGGAGGTTCATACCGGCCTCCATCCTCCTCTGCAGCCACTGCCCCTCGGCACGGCTCAGGCTGTCCTGTGCTCCACCGCACCGCTGGGGTTTTATACTCTGTGGCCTCTTGTTTGCCGCGGGCAGGTCACTTGTCCCAGCACTGATCTTTGGACCCAAAACCACTTTTGCCAAAGGTGCATCACCGGGGGGTTGTTACAAACATGTTTGGAACAACTTACGTAAAAGGGAAAAACAGGCTTCGAGGGCGCATGGAGCCGCATGGAGCATGGGGTGCTCCAGCACCAGCACCTTGACCCTTCCCCACACTGTCCCCTCCCTGCAGCGCGCAGGCGGCTGCCTCACTCAGTGGGATCCTGCAGCCACTGCTCCTCCTGCTGCCCAATACAACAGTTCAGCTTCCCCTACTGAACCCCGGCATTTGCTCTGTTATCAGGGAGGAGATTCAAGCACCCCCACGCTGTGTGAACAGCACTGCAGAACTGCCGCAGCCCCGAGCTGTGACATTTCTCCCATCCCTCTGCCATCACCCCAAGCACCACCGGAGCATCGCAGGGATGCCCAGGAGCGTGGACTGGGTCTTGCGTGGTGTGGGGGGCAGGCTGCCCACCACCTCCACATCAGCTGAAACCTCCAGCTGATGAAAAAACACCTTGCTGCCATGGCATTCGCCAGGCTGATTTAACCAGGACTCTGCATAATAGGAAACTTTCCAAGCCGTTTCTGGAGCTCCCCGCAGCCTCAGACAGCGAGGCTTGAGGAGCTCCTGGCTGCCAGCGATGTTTTTCTGATCTCTGGTGTGGGGTTAAAGGACCTTTGCAAATAAGGTCCCCTAGGAGGGAAGGCATTCCTCCCAGCACAGCTCCCCTGGGTTAACCCCCTCCTGCACAAAACTGCCCCATCAGACACCGGCTGCAGGGACAGAGCCGAACACACCACTTGTCCCACTGGTGCCAGGTCCCTGCCTGTGTCCTTTCTCCATGCCGGCCACACTGTGCTGTCGCTGGCAGCAGTGCTGGCACCGCAGCTTTATCGTCCCGTTCCTCCTCGGGAGGTAACGGTGAATGAGTAACATGGAGAGCTATTTCCAGGAGCCTGAGGACACATGGTCAGCCTGGCAGGAGAAACCTCCTTCCCCAGCTCTGGCCAGCCATCACGGTTGCTGGCACACAGACGTGCAGCCCTGTGGCAGCGGAGCAGGGTGCCCAGCCAGAGCCCGCCACAGCAAAACAGGCAGCTGCCCCTGCATGGGGGAACAGGCAACGAGGTGTTAATGATTAGCAGCCAGTGAAAATGCATCACTTATCTCCCTCCTCGAGAAAGTTCAGGTCAAGATCCTTGAACTGCTACCCCTACCTGTGTGCTGTTTGCCATGGTGCAGAGCAAGCGGAGGTCGTGTCCAGCGCCGAGTCCTGCCCACAAACAGCAGGCTCTGTGCAGCGGGATCCCTGGGCAGCATCCTGCCCCCTTGCCTGCACGTAGCCTGGGGAGCCATGGGGTCTAAAAGGCAAAAACACGGCAAACCTTCCTTCCTGGAATACAGGCACGGACAGCTCTTGGAGCTGCCAGGCCGAGGAAGAGGGATTGTATTTGCAAATGCCTGTGCTCTGAAAGCGGTTAGATGATTAGGTATCTGCCTCGATCTGCCTCGCATTTAACAGTGCAAGGCTGAGGCTGCCAGGGCAAATCTGCAGTCACAGACCAGCAACGCACGTGCTCTGCGGGCAGCCTGTCCTGGCCCCGAGGAGCTGCCTGTCAGGTGGCAGCAGCCAGGATCACTCCTGGCACCCTCGCTTCACACCGGGGCTGATGCTCCTGGGCGAAGGGAAACGTGGGCACAGCCAAAGCCTGTCCCTGCATTCAGCATCGTTGGCCCAGGCTGGTGTGATCGAACTCCATCCCTGGGGATGGAGCGCGGCCGGAGCAGCCTCGCTGTGCTGGGGAACGGGGCCAGGGGAGCCCCGGGGCAGCTGGGCTGCGCTGCGCTTGGGGGGTGGCAGGGGGGGGGGCTGCCGAGCAGCAATTTCCCAGCTGCCGTCAGTGAACGGGAAATACACGTGAAGGAGAGGAAGCGGTGGAAATGCTGCAGGATCAGACCTGGCCGCAGGCGCATCCCTGCCCAGGGCTGCTCCTCCCTGTCCCTCCCAGCCCGGCCTCGCTGTGCCAAGAGGAGATGGACCCAGGCGCCCCAGCCCCGGGACTGAGCTCCCAACCTACAAAAAAAACCCCAACGAAGCAGACGTTTGCACAGAAATGGAATTACTCTTGCAAAACAAATTCCCCCAACAGCTCATTCCAGGGTCCTCAACCAAGAGTGGCTTTGGCCAGTGTGAAGGAATGCAACAGACTTGGCTTCTGCGTCAAAAATATTTTGAAACAGTCAGCAATAAATTCTCCCTGAGAGATTTCACAGCAGAAAATGGGGGCAAAAGGTGTTGGGGGATGGGGACTAGCGTGCTCCAGTAACCGTGGAAAAAGTCACTGCAGGAAAACTGGGGCCGCAATGGGGGTAGGCCGGGAAACGGGACAGGAGCAGCCACCTCCTCCCTCCCCAGCACGGCGGGTGCCGGCACGGCGCGGGAGCAAGCACGAAGCGCTGCTGACAGAGCTGTGCTGCAGCTAGAGCTGAGCTGTGCTGCCGGCAGAGCGGCGCGGGCCAGCATCCCCCTGCATGGCAGCCAGGCTGCGCATGCTGCGGGGCAGGTCTGTGCCGGAGCTGCCGGGGTCCACACAGTGGAGGTTTCCCAGTGCCGGCTCCGTGCCCTGCGCTTCGGGTAAATCCCCAGCCCTGCAGCCGCCGCACGGAGCCAGGGCAGGCCGGGGCGGCAGGGGCTGCTGACCTCCTGGGCACCATGGGGTTCTGCATCCTGGCCGGTTTGGCCACCGGCTCTGGGAGCGCCATGCCAAGCTCCAGCTCGTCCCCTGCACTGGGCAGCCGTGCTGGCAGCACCGCTGGCCAGGGACGCGCATTGCAAACTGGCTGGGGTGGCTTTCCCAGTGGAGGAACAGGGCCAGGCTGGGGGTGCTTTGTTTCTGCACTGAGGTCTGTGCGCAATGAGCCTGGGTCAGCTGGCAGCCCAGGAGCTGTGTGCCTGCAGTGGCAGTGACTGGGTCCGGGACATGGTGTCCCCATGATCCCAAGGCACCGGGTGCAGCTACGGGAGACACAGGGCATGCGGGTGCTGTAACATAACGTGCCGCACGTGGTGCCAAGGTTTCATCCAGAAAGTTCCCAGCCTGCTGGAAGGTCTGGGGCTGGGCAGTGAGCTGCGTTTCTGCCAGCACGGGAGCGCGTCTGGTCTCGCCTGCGTCAGCACACGGGCAGAGTCCAGGCAGCGCTTGCAAACACGTGGGCACACAGCAGCAGGCAGGGAGCTGGCCAGCTGTGACCTTCCCCTCGTAGGGAGCATCCCGCCTGCTCCCCCCAAGCCCCAGGAGGTGCCTCTGGGGCACAGCCCCTGCTGTCACCCCAGGGCATCCAGGGACCACTGCAGCCTCGCACTGAGCCATGCCCCCGAGCTGCCCACTCCTGCCCAATGTCCCTTCCCTGCGCTGCAGCAAGCCGAGCTGGCTCCTGGGGGGACGCACCGCTGCTGTTAGGGCTTCTCGAGCCCATCGCAGTGGGGCCCTGGGCAGACCCAGCTCCCACGGCAAGGGGTCAGAGGGGACGGATGCCCACCATGCCCCCAGGGACACGTTGGCCAGCGCTTGGCATCTACAGCCACGTGCCAAGGCCAGGCTGTGGGGCTGGAGCTGAACCACCCTCACCAAGCCCCTCAGCCTGGCACAGTGGGGATGGGCTCCGGAGGCTGCGGGATCCCGCAGCCTGGGGCTGTGCATGCAGCCGGTGGCGCAGGAGCAAGGGTCCCTGCGCTGGCAGGGGCTGAGCGCGCCGGGCAGCAGCCAAGGCCAGAACCGATTAATGCGGCTCGGTACAGACGTTACAGATTAACTCCTTTGTTTGTCCCATATTCCCCGGCAGGAGCCTCCTGCCAGCACCTGGGGTCCAAGAGCACAACCAGTGCACGCTCGCACAGCTGTGCCGGGTGCTGTACGGGCCCCACGGCCCTTGGACCTCCGCAAGCACTGCAGAGCGCAGCCAGGACTGTCCCTTACGGGGCACCAGTGCCCACAGTGTCAGCAGTGCTGGGGCTCCGGCCACCAGCCACAGGAGCCGCAGCAGCACCCATGAGCTACGCAACAGTTTGGTCAGAAAAAGCACCCGAGTGCCTGTTTATTGGGGAAGGGTGGACACAAGGCAGCTCAGCCCGGGGAGTGCCCATCCCGCAGTCCTGCAGTGTGCTCTTCCTGTGGGGTCCTGATGCAGCCCAGCGCACCGTCCCTGTCCCCAGAGCTTGGCACTGCCGCAGCAGCCAGAGCTCAGTGTCGCCTGGGCCCCAGCAGCCCTGGAGCTGCAGTGGCCGCGGGGCCAGGGTGAACGTTTTGGGCATCCTGGAGCTGCTGGTCTCCCGTGGCCCAACGCCCCTGGGCTGCGGCCAGGCCACAGCGGCTGCCATGCCACCTGCTCCCACCACCCCGGGCAAAATCTCGGCATGGACCATGGCTCCAAGGGGAGCTGCGGCTTTGTGCAGTGCCCAGCCCTGGTCAGCACCATCGCCCTGCGTGCACCGACCTACCTTGGGGAGGGGGGCAGGAGCTCCGGTCCCAGAAGATGAGAGCAGCCATGGGCACCCCACAGCCCTTTGGGTGGCCTCCTGGATGGAGTCTCCAAAAATCACTCCTAGGGACTGTTTTTCAGAGGCTTTGTGTCCGCCTTCGGCAGCATTGCAGTGCCGAAACGAGAGCTGATCTCCTCTGAAAACCTGACCCTGAGCACGCGACATCCCAGGGATGGGGAGGGCAGGTCCTGGTGCAGTGGCAGAGCCAGCCTGCACCCACTGCTGCCGCTGGAGCCCCTCCAAGGACGCACCTGACAGCCGGACACGGACCACCCACACCAGTGAGGACAGGGGCAGCAGCGGCCCCAGCCCTGTCAGAGCCCGCCGGGCAGCGGGGCCAGGCTGAGGTTGAGGAAGCCCCCATAGTGGAAGGGGGGCAGGTGGGGGGCACAGGCGACGGCAGGGGGCAGGCAGGCGAGGGGGTTGGCTCCGCATGCTCCGGCGTCCTGCTCGCTGCTGAAGTAGACGCTGTCGGGCGAGTCCACTGAGGGGTCCTCGTCGAAGTAGTTGTAGGGCCTCAGGAAAAAGCCAATGCCGTTCCCCACGGTCACTGTGTT